GTTTACGTTGGAGAAGCATGAACGTATATATGTTTTAGGTTTGATGCATATAATATGATCGAGAAGCAAGAATGTTTAAATGATGTTATAACTCACTTCTTATATTACCACAAGGTTAAAATATGTACTTTGGTGGTATTATGTGATTCTATTTGGATACAATACGATCAAGTGAGGGGATGAAAAAGAGTGTACACATAGTGTGAGTTGATATGGTTGTGTATGATCTCCAGTGACTGTTCTACATAATATGCAACAACGAAAATAACAAAAAGTGCTCTGAAAATACAACAATGATATTTTTCTGAATTTCAATGGTATTTTTTTGTACTAAATGTATACTTTGTTGGTATTCTGTGTACACATGCTATATTTCAACAATATTTGTACTATAAAAACAAAAATGCTATTTTTTTTTAAATATTTTGGAAACTTCGTTACCCTTTAAAGACATTTTTCTATTTACAAATTGTATATTTTAATGATATTATTTGTACTAAAAAACAATAATAATATTTTTTTTATATATTTTAGAAACTTCGTTACCTTTTTAAGTTATTTTCTCTAAAATGACTATAATCTTTTTTCAAACATGCTAATGAAATGTGGCCAGAAGTTTTTAAAATGACTATATATATATATATATATATATATATATATATATATATATATATATATATATATATATATATATATATATATATATATATATATATATATATATATATATATATATATATATATATATATATAGGCTACATAACTTTTTTAATTTTTAAAATTTTCAAACCTAAAAGATTGTTCCATTGCTAGTAATTTTACAATAGTGAAACCAAATTCACACGATACTTTTTGAATCTCGACTTTGCTTCTTTTCTATGATCTAAGGTGTTGTTTGTTTTTCCGAAGCGAAAATTTCTGAGTCTGCGGACCACTTCTGCAACCCTCTATAGCAGAAGAGAGGGAGCAAACGGCTGCAACATGTAATAAAAAGTCTGTTTGTTTTTAATATTTGCAGACTGCTACAAGAGTTAAAGTAAGGTGTGAAAATGTTTAAAGCAGAGAGTCCAGTGCTGCACCACACATCATACGCGCAACAAATTTTAAGTCAGAAGTCTCCTAAAAAACGAACAGTTGTTAAGGGCCAAATGTTGCGCGGCGCAACAATAAATTGTCAGAAATTGTTTTTTAGAAAAAACAAACAACACTAAGTTTATCGCATATACTAGTCGGAAGCCTATTTCTCTTTCAACTACAAACTAGTCTTCATCATATGGGTTTAGATTTGGAAAAGAAGATATGTTTGGATTTCGATTTACCGGTTAAATTAAAATTTTGATTTGTATTTATGTTTAGTTGGTAAGAATGATTTTTGAAAAAACCCAAAACCTATATACTAAAGGACGTTTTAATGATTATTATTGAAAGAAAATTTTTCAAAAATGGTCTAAGTGGTTTTTATCCTTGATTTTTTTCGGTCTCATAAAAGATCCATATGGTTTCAATTTCTATCGTATTTGGTTACCCATCGTGTAAAAGAAAACCGTTATACCTTTTTAAGTTATTATATATTTTCTTTAATCAAAATTTAATTTAAATGAATAAGAAAATAAGATGGACCCATCCCACCCAACTTACACCTATCTTCTACCTCACGAATATCATCATTCTTTCACTCACTCACACATTGAATCTATGTGTGTGTATTATCCCTCCCAAAAACCATCTTCCACATTTTTTTAAAGATCTTTTCTTCCTATTTTCATTTTCCAAACACCACCACCATTACCACCACCCCGCCCCAAATCTTCACCTCTATTGATCTCTTCTTCTTTTCCCCTGCCTTCACCGAACACCACCCTTCTCTTCTATATATCAATGAAGTTGTTGTTGATTAAGTTATTTCACGTGCTTCCCGTCAAGCATGAATCCCCAAATTAAATTCAGAAAATAAAGTGAAATCAGAGAATGATCATCGATTTAATCCTTCAATGTAGAGATGAGAACATGTGATGGTCGTCAACTAAAGGATAACGACGGAGGAAATCAGGCGCCCGGAGTTGCATGAGGTGAAGAACAAAGGTTCCTAGCTGATGTTCAAACCATCTCCTGTTAACACTCTAAGCTCAACTTCAACTTTACCGGCTGTAACACCACTACCACTACCACCACCACCACCACCATCACCATTGTTTCTTCCTCCAGTTCACGATCTAGTCTTGTTCATCCAATTTTTACCCATCATCTCCTTCTTCTCTCAACTAGTTTGTAGGATGAGTTGGTATATATTGGTATATGATTTTTTTGCCCTAAATCGCTGAAGAAAACTCCACTTCTTCCCTTTCTTTACCATTTATTTGCAGGTAAGAATGATGCATAACTAGAAAATGATGGATAATAATGGATTTTCAGTTCTAAAGATGATAAACATCGATAATAGTGGTTAAATGTGATGGTTGTTGATCAAGATGGGTAAAAAATGTGGAAAAGACGATGAACAGTAGATTTCTTAACCTTTATTTGGAAAATGAAACCCAACTTTAATAATATTCATCGGGAATGTCGAGTCAGTAAAAATAACGACAAGAATGAGCAAATTAGATGTAACACCCGTTTTTCGGTATTCTTGTAGAATCTAAGAATCGAGTTTGAATATTAATCAAAGTTTTAAATCAGAAAAGTATGTAAGATTGAACACCGATGCAAATAAGATCTTGATTCAGCTCAATATAACGCTTTTAGGTTTACAGAGTGCAAAATAGACAAGATTGTAAAAAAACCTTATCTAACTCTAGTAAAGACTAGTAAAGACTCCTATTTATAGGAGAATAAAAGCGTACAAAAATATACTAAGGACTAGACACCTAAGCTTCGAATAATGTGCCTTAGTAAAATAGATAACAGATCATACGAAGAGTACATATAAGACTTCGACTCATTACAACCAAACTACCCTTACATTCTCCCCCTGTGTAAACAGAGTTGAAGACTTCAATTTGTAAGCAGTTGAATGGAGTACAACATTACTCTTCGTATCTCAGTATGCCAAGAGATAATCTTCTTCAGTTCCTTCTTGTCTCCTTTGTTATTCTTCTTGCAATGATTCATACGAACAATCAAGTTCGTATATTGCGAAGTAGAATATTTTTCAACTTCACTCGCCTGGAACAAAAATCTTTTTGACTTTCCTGACTTGTCCTTCTCAGAGAAGACTAAGCTAAAAGGCTTCAAGCATATTTCACCATCTGCATATTTCTTTAAGTCTGCTTGAGTCTTCGAAGGAGCCATAGTTGCTGTAATTTCCAGACCTTTAGCTGTAGCCAACTCCACATCAGTCATTGCTAAACATTCAAAAATCTTGATGTGAGTAACTCCCAGCTTGTACTCATCATGATTTGTGTTTTGAAGGTATGAAAAAGACCTTTCCTTCAATAGTAATGCAACTTGTATAAAATCATACAAGTTCATCAAAGGAAAGTCAACAATTGTAAACTCGCACACATTACCATTTGCCCTGGTCACAATATACTTCATGTTTTGGACTGTGTTTTCGAAAACCACATCCTTCTTTATACTTATGACCTTTTTAATCTTGATCAAGGACCATACTACTTCTGCAGGCTTGGCAAGAACCGCATGAAATCTTATCTTCATTTGAGTACCTTCATCATTCTCCTTGAATTTACTTTCTACTTTAAATTGAGGCATGATGAACATCATTTCGTTAATTGGAAAGTCCAATTGACTTGCATCTGTATTCATGACAATATAACTCTGTTTAGGCTTCTTCTCAAACGAATACATGTGATTAAATGAAACTTTGGCTTCAATTGTTTCATAATTGTTGTTCTTTGATGGATCACCCTTGTTCATGCCAGGAGGATCACTAGCCCTTTGAGTCATGATGCTTTGAATCATCCTCATCTTTTCCACTCATGCCTCAGCCTCTGCCTTCGTCTCTTCTTTATATTTTTCAATTAATATTGACTTTCCCCTTTCCTTCGAAACAAATTCCTCTATCACTTCTTTTGCTTTAGTATCACTTCTACCAGTGTCAACAAATTTACCAATCACAATTCCTTTCGAAATTGGTCTTATGATTGGCACAATTGTAACTATTGTTAAAGAAATAGGACCAGCAGTTGCTATCACTGGTTTGGATGTTGGGATTTTAAAAGGAAACACCTTTCCCACTACCTTCGCATCTTCGCCTCCAGCCTTCGAACCTTCAATTTTCTTTTCTCCCCCTTGCACCCCTGTATTAGCAGGCGGGGCATCCATTATGGGAAGAAGGCTAAATATTCTTGAAAGAGGAGCCAACTGTTGAAGAAGTAAAGCTTCAAATTGAGAAAATTTGTTGAGAAGATCTTCAGAGGATAGCATAGAAAATGAAGCAGATGTTGAAGATAAGGTTTTAAGCTCCTTTAACAACGTGAAAACCTCCATGAAATTTTTGTTCTCTGTTGTAGAAAGTTGAGCAATTTGAGGACTCAGACTTTCGTACAACTTAGCAAACTTAGTAACTGCATCACAAATGATATCCACCTTCTGATTGAGAGATGCAAAATCAGTACGAACATTTTCAATCTCTTTCTCCATATCTTGTCTAAGTTCTTGGAGTTTATAATTCACGCCTTCTATAACTTTCTTCACATCTTGAATAAACAAAACATGTCTCTCCTTTGCAACCTTTAATTCCTTCATATCACCTTCAAAAGTAGATTTCTGAGCATTGACACTCATATCATTACTATGATCGCAAAGATAAATTTTCTCCAGGAGACGAGACTTAGAATCCTTTATCATTCCGGAAACTTTCAAAGAAATCCTCCCTTCAACCATCTTTAGCATACCATCCACTTTGAGATTGGTCACTGAATTTCCTCCCCCAAGATCAGCCTGAGACTGCAAAATTGAATTGAGTTTTGTATTCAATATCTTGAACTATTTCATTGTCATGAGCATGTGATCTGGGAAGGCAGTTTCTTCTTCATCAAATTCTAGATTTTCAAATGTCCCTCCAAAACCTTCAAACTCATGTTCAGTTTCCATGAAAGAAGAATCTTGAATTGGTGAAGTGGTGGTAGGTGGATCAGTGGATTGTGAAGAAAAAGTGATGTGATTGGTTTTTTGATGATGTTTTCAAAGGTAGGAGAATCAGCTGTGGATGTAGTAGGAATAACAGGTGTGAGCTGTGGAGGTAAAGAAACAATATTATCTGGGGTAACATCCGAAGGTTTACCTTTGTCTCCAGTGTGTGAAGCACCCTCACCCATTTTGACATTTGCATCCATATCGGATATGTTTACAAAAATGTCAAAAGTTCGTGCCTCCACAGAATCTGTCTTGGCAACCGAAACTTCGGGTGGTATTACATCAGTTGATGCAATATGAGAAGAATCTTTCTGAAGATCAGCTTATGGTGTTTCTGGAATTGTTTCATTTTCATCAGTAGTAGACTCTGATGAAATAATCACCCTACTCTTCTTCTTCTTCTTCGATATGTGTTTGGCCATATCAGTCTCCCTTCTCTTCTTAGAAGATGGTGAAGTAGGGGCAGGAATATCACGAAAGATAACTCCTTGATGCGAAACCTGTGGTTTGCGAACAACATTCGTTAAAGGTGATCGACTCTTATGTTTTGACTTCATCTTGATTCTTCGAAAAATACCAGTCTTTGAAGGAATGATTTCCTTTTGAGTCGATGGGGTATCAGCAACAACAACTTCTGGTTGGATTGGCTCGGCTTCTGTAATTGGTAACTTCTTCGGACTCTTTGTTGATTTAGATTATTTGATAGATTTCGCAGAAGATTCAGCAACAACCTTCTTCGAACATTTAGTCTTCGTCTCTAGCCAAAAGAACCCCGGTTTCAACAGAAGTATCGATGTTTTGTAAGTAAGTGATTAGAACTGTGTTGGTGGGATCAACTCTTTTCAGCATGGCATCAGGAATGCGAGCAACAATTGGAAATTCGTCAGTATCATCAGCTGCATCCTTCGGAAAACTATAAACATGAAACACAACCTTTTCTTCGTCTTCCGGAACCAAAATTCCTTACTTCTCATAAAAATATTTCAAAATCAAACTTCAATATTGAGCACACGAAATGCCATGAAGAGCATTCGTGTTCTCAGTACTCTTCAAGGACTCTTTCCATAATTGAGTAGAGTAATCAACTTGAAGATCATAGTATAAGCCTGCAATCATCGCATAAACTTCCATCCTCCCCTTGTCCAACCCAACAGTTATTCCAGTTAAACATCTGAGAAAAATGTCGAACAAAAAATTCCAAACACTCGGAAGTCCTGACTTCTTGAAATCATTGATCTTTTCCAATTGGGGTTGGTGACCCATTTCATTGAACATGTGAACAATTTGTGGGAATGTAAAAGTGACATATGGCGGAGAATTAGGTATATCGAGAATTTGGTAGAAAAGCTTCTTTGAGAGTCTAACCTTCTTATCAGTCACAAGATTAAACAAAATTGTATCCAAAGCTTTAGAGTAAGTAGCTGTTGATCCAGCTTGAGACAACCATGAAAGAGGAACAAAGAATGAGTTGAACATGGCTTTTTATAATACGGAGCTTTTCAGAGCAACCATGAACATTTTCAGTTCTTCAGGATATCGAGAGACGTTTGCTTCAACTTGGTAATTTGTGCCTTGAATCTTCATTATTGGCAATGAGGTTACATCATCGGTGGTGTGAGACAAAGTTGCATCAGGATTAGCAGTCGCCATTGTTAGGGTTTGAGAGTTGAATGTTTATCAGAGTAAATTTGGGAATATAAAAGCGTAATGTAACACCCCAAAGTTTGGAAAGCCAAGAAAAGAAAGAAAAACCTCAAGTTTAAGGGGAGACTCGGCGAGTCCGAGTGGGATCCGGGTTGTGGTGTAAGCGACCAACTCGGCGAGTCGGCCAAGGAGACTCGACGAGTTGGGTCTGAGCGAGGAAAAACCCTAAATCCGGGATTTGGAGCCTATTTAAGTGTCTCATTCTCTTCCCTAGGGTTCCTTTACTGCCTCTCTACCCTAGAACACCAAACCCTAGCCGCCATATCCGTTTTTGAGCTAGATCTTGCCTTGTAGAGTGCACTAAAGCTTGGAGAAGGAAGAAAAGCCTTGGAGGTGCAAGAAGGGACTGTAGATCCAAGATTGAGAAGACATTTCAGACCAGTTGGAGGTAATAAGTTGTTGCTTGGACTCCCTTCGCACCTAGATCTATTCTTATATGTGAGTTTTGGTCATTGTTAGTATGATATGTAACCAATCCGAGTTGGAGGTTCAGATCTGAGGTTGCTACCTCAGATCCATGTTTGTTTTGGTCTTGAATCCCCTAAAGTATCAGCCCTTGGTTTGTTGAAGAAGTATGTTTGCCATAAACCCTAGTTTAGGGTGTTTTGAGCCTAGATCTCTTAATCTACACGTAAAGTTTGCCACTTTACGTGGGGGATAGTCCCTAGAAGTATGGATCTATGAGTTGGAAACTCTGTTTGGCTCGAAAAGCCACTGCATGGATTGAGGACTGGATAGACTCGGCGAGTCCTTCGAGTAGACTCGGCGAGTAGCTTGAAGATGAGGAGGAACTCGACGAGTAGGATGAACAACTCGTCGAGTCGGATGAAGTTAGGCATGGACTCGGCGAGTTGGATGAGCAATTTGACGAGTTAGTTGAAGATTGTCTAGGACTCGGCGAGTCAGATCGCGAAACCCTAAACCCTTCGAGTTGGGGCTCGAATCAGTGAGTCGGGTGGTGACTCAGCGAGTTGGACAGGATAGGACTTGGAACTAGTTGGACTCGGCGAGTCATGGACTGACTCGGCGAGTCGAGTCGCGGATAAGAAAGACCCATAACATATGAACTCGGCGAGTCAGTAGGTAGACTCGGCGAGTAGGGTTGACCCGGAAGGTTGACTTTGACTAGGATTTTGACCTTGACCAGAATTGACCTAGTGACCTTTGGAGGTCAGTTGGACTAAGTGTTATATTGATATTGGTAGCTCGAGGAGCTAGTGGAGCAGCAGTCGAAGTCAGAGGTCAGGTAGCAGTCAAAAGGATTAGCAGCAGTAGTTCAGCAGCATCAGGTGAGTTTCCTTCCAGTAGGGACGGGTCTAAGGCCACAATGCCGGCCCGTTCAGTTAGCAGTAGTTTCCGGAATTCGATCCGATGCAGTAGTTAGTATGTTTGATGCCTTCGTGGCTCAGACAGGATTTATGTGTTATGTGCTATGTGTTATGTGTTCCGGGCTACGGCCCGATGTAGTATGCAATATATGTGTTCATGCTAGTTGATATGTTATGCTATGCTATGTTCAGTCAGTTTCCGGACTTCGGTCCGATGTAGGGGGCAAGGCCCCAGTTAGTCCGGACTTCGGTCCGATGCAGGGGACAAGGTCCCAGTCAGTTTCCGAACTTCGGTCTGATGTAGGGGGCAAGGCCCCAGTTAGTCCGGACTTCGGTCCGATGCAGGGGACAAGGTCCCAGTCAGTTTTCGGACTTCGGTCTGATGTAGGGGGTAAGGCCCCAGTTAGTCCGGACATTGGTCCGATGCAGTGGGCAAGGCCCAGTATGTGCTTTATATGTTATTGCATGGTATGTGTTAGATTGGGGGAGCTCACTAAGCTTCGTGCTTACGGTTTTCAGTTTTGGTTTCAGGTACTCAGTTTTCAAAAAAGGAGCTCGGGAAGATTTCAGTGCACACACCATAGTCAGTTAGCTTGGGAATGTTTGACTCTGATAATGATATTATGTTTTGAATTAATACTCGAGAATTTATGTTATGACTTATGATACAGTTTTTATAAATATGATTTTAGTAATGTTTTTAAAGAAATTTTTGGGTCGTTTCACGTAAACTGATAATGAACCCGTGAATCCCCTTTTATATGTAACTCTGAATTTTGAAATTAAAGCAGGATAAGCATTTAGTGATATGTGACGTGTCACCGAGAAAACCGCATCATGATGATGAAAAAGTAACCATGCGTGATAAAGTAATTGTCACATCTCCTCAAAACCCGCACAGAATTCAAAATGACCCTTCAAACAGCCTAGATTGTTTGCCCCAATATAATAGTAACCATCGGAACCCTTCAGATGGGGGTAAGGCTTTTTCACTTTATGGTTTCAAAGTAAAGTCATTTGCTAGATTCTTGAAATCATCAGTCTGAGTTGGTATTACTTAGAACCTCAAGGATTTCGTGTGTGTCAAGTGTGAAAGAATAAAGATGGGAAGCAATTAATTTTTTTTTTTTGGATATTTAGTGATGTCAAAAGTTTAATTTGACACGAAGGCAGTTAAAACCCCGGGCAAAGATTGCTTCGTTAATTATCAAGAGAGATAATCAACAGCTTGTGAATTTTCCTGTGAATTACAATCGAATACGTGTAAATAAGTATCGAAGGGATTCTTTTAAAAGGCTTTTGAGGTGGTTTAATGAATTTTGTTACATATCAACCTAAACATAAGGTGAGTAATTGCAACAGAAATTACTTGTTTGACCAGTGTAGTCAGTGACAAGTTTGCTTTGAAAAACTTTTAAGTAACATGGAATTTTAGATAAAACTCGCACTGAAATCTTATTCAAGAAAAAATTGTATTATGGATCCTGTTGGGTAACAAACATCATGTGTTTCAAATGTTTGATCAAGACCACACATAAGAAATGAATATGATTTGGAGTTTCGAACGAAGGTACAGAAACAAATGTTTCGTTAAAATCTGGAACTAAGTTCCCCGTCAATTCCTTAAAGTTTAATTGAATTGGGTTTCACTTCCATCACGGTCTCATGATGTCTGATCATAAACATAGATTTGTGATATATCTAAGTTTTGATTGGTTTGATCAGAAACCTCTTGGACATATGTCTTCGTGTGTGATAGTGTAAGAATTTTGAGATGAAAAAGATTGGTATATGAAGGAACATGTACCTCTGTTATATTGGACCAAACAGTAAACTCTTAACTCATGTGAGAAGAGTAAGGTAGCTCATTGGACTAATGTGAATGTAAGCCTAATTGGGAAGAAATCTTCGTATGAAAATTTCATTAAGGCTTTCAAACATTGAGTCATTTCGAGGCTTCGGACAACATGCAACAACATGCTTCTAGGGACATCTTAACTAGTAAAAAATTTGAAATTCAAAGAATAGAATGATAAATGTACCTCACCCTAGAACTGTAAGCCTTATCCTCTTTGTATCTTCATGAATATCTGCAACACATTACTTAGAAAAAAAAGAAGAAACAAAATCTTTTTGTTGTTTTTGATTTTTCAAAAATTAAGAACAAAATAATAAGAAAATCTTTTTGATGTTTTTTTTTTAATTTAAAAAAAAAATAAAGAACAAAACAATTAAAAGTACTCATTGCAAATATTCGAAGTTTTACTAAGCTGATAAAAATACCAATCTTACGAATTCGAAGCATTCGAAGAGTTGACTGTGAACAGTAACCTCTGAATATTGAATGATTTTTCTTTATTTTTTTCTTGTAATCACTGTTTGTCTTTTTCGCATGGAATTGAATTTCCATCAATCATTCTCAGTCCTTCCAAAATTTGTACAAAATTATTTTTCATCCAAAGCGTTTGTGAAAATATCAGCCAACTGATCAGTTGTTTTCACGAAATGAACTTCAATATTTCCTT